CTTGATTGCTATACAATAAAAAATTTGATGTTAAAACGGACGACTGAAATTTTACATTAACATGAGGAATGTCAAAAAGTACACAAATATAACGTTAAATAAACGCGTTACACTTGTTAACAAGACGAATGTATTAATTTAACATTATATTTGTGTACGTTTTAATACAAAGCTTCAGTGGATCGTTATTAAGAAAAAATTTTCTACTGTATGAATAATTTCGTAATTGAAAGGGTCGTCAAGTGTCCGATGACGGAAATATTATCTCCCGAGTTTCTCTCTCGTTGAAAGCCCGGAGTCAGGATGAAAACGGGGATAATGACGGGGATTCCTATGAGGAATCGCGCGAGATCCTCCATTAAAAAAGCAAAGCACTCGGGAGGAGGAAACGCGTAATCGCCGTCGGTCATTTCTGTGAGAATTGCGAGCAGCAGGAGTTAATGCAATCGGCATCAGGACGAATGGCAGCCCGAATACGTGCGAGCCAAGACATTGTCGGAAAGAACTCGATGATGCGAAACAAAGAGGAATCCTCCGGACCGCCAAGAGCGACGGCTTGGCACGGTTCCCTATATTGTTCCAATCGATCGATCGGGCCTTTAAGGGGATGGTTACCCGCTTAAGTTTTCGTAAGGAGCCCATTAAAATCCTTCGTGGTTGTGGGAACAGGCCAAATCCCGCCGGAAAGAACGAGAAATGCGACGGCTGCCTTCGTGAGAGATAAATAAAGAAATAAAACGGCACAAAGAATGATATTGAAGGTTCTTGAAAGTACACAGCTAGTAGGAAAAATAAGCTGTAAGAGCTGTCACTGGGGATATTGGACGCGTTGATTTAAATCGTAACGGCAGGATAAAATTGTCCGAGGGAAGCGACGAACTTTTTTTCTCTCCGACTTTCAAACGCGGGTAGAGTTCTGTATAATAAGTACTTTGAACCACATTAAGCCAACCCTCTAACTAACCCTCAATTAATATTCGTATTAATTATTCCTCTCTAAATTCCACAGGCTTTATCGAAAACTTTATTAATAAGCGAAAAATACTGCTTCACAGTCAGGAGATGCACTGTCACATATATCAAATATGTACGTTTCGTCAGACGCATTTACGTGTTTTTTTATTATAAAAGTGCATATGTATGTTTATAAAAGTGTATATGTACGTATATACGTGTATACAGGATGTCCAAGATTAACAGGGATAAACTTCGTAACGGCGAGAATGGATTAGATTGAGGTAAACGAAAAAATCCTTTAACATTTTGCAAACAGCAAAATTTCAAGTTCTTATCATTGAAAATGGCCGTGTATTAAAAATATCATGTATTAAAGAGACTTTTTAAATTAATAACTCGAAAATTTGCGTGTTATTTGCAAAATGGTAAAAGACTTTTTTCGTTCAATGCGGCCTGATCTACAAATATATGACAGCTGTTGTACCTAGCGACGGGTTCAAGATTCGAGATTCAAGGTTCAATATACTGATGTCTATCGCTATAACAGCTATAACACTTATAAGGTATAACAGCTCTCATATACTTGTAGATTAGATCGCTCTGAATAAGAAGTTCTTTATCATTTTGCAAATAATCCGTAAATTCTCGAATGGTTAATTAAAGAAATCTCCATACCATGACCATTTTCAATAATTGATAACTCGAATATTTGCGTGTTGTTTGCAAAATGGAACCTTTTTGTTCACCTCAATCCGTTCTACGCCCTTACGAATTTTGTCTCTAATGGGGCACCCTGTACATACATATGTGTGTTTGTATGTACGTTTACACATACACACACTTCTGGGGAAATTGTTTTTTTCTAATTATGACCGAAGCTTTGACATTCTGGACTAGGAACAAATTGATTCCAACTTGTCAGTCGTTGCAGTATATAGTGTTGGCTACTGCTATCCAGCCAGGTTTTAATGACAGGTTCCCTAACAAGTCTGGAAGTCGGTCTTCCTTTGACAGAATTCGGTGGCGAGAGAGAAAGAGAGAGAGAAGCGCTTTAATTACGAGGACGTTTAATATCGCAACGCGTCTGAAAAGCGTCGCGAAAACATTTCAAGGGTGGCTTAATTTCTCAGAAAAGCCTTTTAGAGAAAGATCTTTTGCGCAGCTTTTTGACTCTCTCTCTCTCTCTCTCTCTCTCTCTCTCTCTCTCTCTCTCTCTCTCTCTCTCCCTCCCTTCGTGTCGCTAGTCGCAAAGTGAGCGACGCACGTTGTTTCCGACGCGATAAGTATAAAATAAAATATAAGATTATAATGTATAAATAAAAAACTGAACGGGCAAAAAAACTGTTCTAAAGATAACACGTATAAAGATATTCCCGACAGAGATGCATGCCCTACGTCACTCCGAACACCGGGAGAGAGCCGTATTCATTCTTCGAACACGGAAACGTCGACGTGATTTCCCGAGATGGACTAACGGCGGAGAAATCGGTCCCGTAGTTGCGATCGCAATAATTCATGGATCGCGGTTGCGGCTCGTCGTAATCTTCCCCTGTCCTCTCCGCCTTCCTGCATCGATGCTGTTCCTTTACCGTGCGATATCAGGGTACAATCGAAGGCCAACTCGTAAATTTATTATGGCGAATCCCAGCGCCCGCATGAGTAACACGCCGAAGCTCACGGCTTTCAACTTTAAGACACGATAACCGGGTAATTGGCTCACCTCCGTTTAATCCGTTTACAGCGAATTCGGCCGACTGTTCGTGACAACGAAAGAGGATCTCTCGCCGAATCTCGGCATGTCGCTGACGTTTGCAAACGAATAGTTATGGTCTTGTTATTCTTACCTCGTATTCCGTAGGTTCTGTGCGCGACAGACTATTTATTCACCGGGATGAAATTTCTATGGTTTCAGATATTTCACGCTTACACAGACGCGCGCGGATCGCCGAAATCGATCATTTTAAATATCAGCGTTCTGTCTTCCGAGTGTTAAGCGAATCAATTCTACGAAAGCATCAGGGGAGATTTTTACGTTAAATGAAAATTGGTTGGAATACGAGAATGGAATTTCACGAAAACCGATATTTAATAAATAAAAATGTCTATATAAATAAATAATAAATCTATAACTATAGACGAAACAACTATTTATGCCATTATAATCATTTATACATCAGCATTCGACTCAGATTTGTCTTCTGTTTGACCTATATTTTTATTTTGAAAAAAAAAAACATACAGTAAACACGTATACATATATATATTTTTATTATAACTCTCGAAGCATAAATATTTATATTAAATATTGAATTTTCTTCTCTACAACGAAGAATCTCTCTTCTCTCTCGATATTTCGAGCGTCTCGACCTGATGTTTCAACAGATGCGATGTAACTTTAAACCTGCTTAATCCTAATAAAATCTTTCGTGCTCATATCGCGCTATTTGCGAAATTTATTATCCTTGAGATTCGGAAGGGGAACCTCGATGAAGAGGGAGGGATGGGAGGGAGGCAACCGATGTTCGCGCGGATTGGCTCCTTTCGTTCTTACGAGCCCTTAATCCCTTTCCAGGTTACATGGCGGGAAGGGGCTTTGCCCGGCCAGCGCGCTTGTTGTCGTCGTTCTTCCGGAGAGCAGCGCGTTATTGCTATCCACAATTCACCTGGCCGAAAATCTCTTAAGCCGCTCTCACACGCGCGCCGAATATACCATATATACGCGCGCATATCAGAATGATCAAAACCACCCTCTCGAGTACGGCCGCCGAAGAACGAGCTGGCAAAAAGTGACGGAGGTGTTCCGATATCGCGACCTCTTCTGCGGCGCGGTTCTTCCGTTACGAAAATAATCGGACACAGTTCAATTAGCGCGTCGCGAGTTAAATTCGTCGAGTCGGCCGAGTTCCTGGCGTTACTCAAGCCGCCAACCCGTCAACCGCAGGAAACCGTCGAGTCGCTCGAGTTACCGCGTGTAACTCGAATCGCTAAAAATAACAGGACGGATCGCCCGATCGGGGCGGAACTTGGCGGAACCGATCGAATGCGACGGCGGATACTTCGCGGGAATTAATCTTCGTAAATTTCAGGCATCAGGAAGCTACGGTAAACTCGGGCGGATAAAATCGCAGGTGGATTTACGGCGCGCGATAAAATGCGCGCCCATATTTCACGGGGAAATTTTCACGCGATCGCTGAGATTAGCCGGCCGTTGGAGACTCCTCGATTCCGCCTCGCGGGACACTTTGTTTCGATGCTGATGAATCGCCGATCTGTGCTTTCTCGCTCGCTCGGTGTCGGGTTCGTTGGCCTGTTGCTCTGTCTAATGGGCTTCGCAGATCCGATATTCAACGTATCAATGCCTCTCGTTCAACGATTGTTTTCCAGGCGCGACGCTCGGTTCGGCCCGAGAGACCGAAGGATGAATACGAAATCCGAGGGGTCGTAAAAAACCACAGCGAACTCTCTCGAGTTTCTCCTCACGACGCGAACTAGGAGGGGAGAGGGAATTTTATTTTTTTCTCTTCTATTTTTTTCTAAAGAGCCCGGTTCTTTACGTCAGCGCTTTTTACGAGCGCTGAAAACGGTTAGCGCCTTTTCCGGCCGCGTCGTGAATTTCAGGCTATTAGCAAAAGCGCTGTGCTCGACTTTTACGATAGGTAATAAGTAACTTTACGGAGGGCGTGTGAATATTTCATTGTCTAAGAGATGGGCCGCGAATTAACGCGCGGCAAAATCGTGCTTTGTTGTCTCCGTTCTTAATTATTTGGCTTTCATGTTAATCCGCCGATGTGTCGTCGAATATTTATAACCCCGAGGGGTGCGAGAGAATATTTGAAAGCGACCATTATTCGTCTCGATTTATTTCCCCCCTTCGGGAGAAGTAATTGTAATTTTCCGGGATATGTTACACCTATATATTTAGTACACTGTTCCTCCGAAACAATTGAGAAAATGAAACTTTACATTGTCATGATCAACAGTTAAATTTATAAATCGGTGTGATTTTACGGACAAAAGGAAATGAAGAGTATTCTCTGTTTCAGGCCTCGTTTTGGTCGACAGCACTGAAAACCCTGATCTCTGTGTCTACTGTGATACTGCTTGGCCTCATATTTGCTTACCATGCCTTAGAAGTTCAGGTACGTATAACTCAAGGCATATACACACACACGCGCGCGCATACAGAGCGAATATGCATTTAAATAAAGCAGAATATCCGAGGACACGCTAGCGTCATGCGATGAGAGTCTAAGAGAGATTAAACAAGATACGAAGATCGCAGTGTGTATGCAATTGCTTAGAAAAAGCAAGGAAATAATTTCGCACATTCATTCGCACGATTGCTGCCATTTTCTCGTTTTCACACGGGGAGTGTTCGTCCCCGAGAGACGTTCCCCGGGATTTCTCCGTCGTGTTTGGGGACACGGGGAATTGTCATTACCACTGCCGCTACTGTCGCAGTATGCGGATAAATTATTGTTACAAATAATGTACGCTATATTTCCACAAGCATCGTTGTAATCATGATTATCCGTCCATTATGAATTATTAACGTAAGTTATTGTTGCGCACATAGTATATAACATATCGTGGAAGTACTGTCATCGATATCTCTCCGTGTAATTTGCCGTAAAATACACACGCATTGATGAATTAGCACTACAAATAAATGCCTGAAATCGAGAAATGTAGTTCATAGCGACGAATTGTCCTCGTATTTCGCCGTTTCGAGCAGGACGAGCGCGACATTATGGCTCAGTGATCGCGGGAATTTAACAGCCGTCCGTTGCACCGTCAGTCAAAATCGCGGGAAACCGACGCCAAGCTAATCGAAACGGTATCTGCGAGTAACGCGGACAATTTCGCCAGCACGAAACTGCGCGAGAGCGAGGGAGCTATTAATGCGCCGCTAATAAAGGGCCAATTACGCCGTGCATGATCAAATTTTATCTACGATTACGCACGCACAATATGCCGCCATTGAACTTCCGGCTTATTTATGTCGAATTACACACACACACACACATACATAGGTATTACATAGATATTAAGGGATCCCATAAGTAATCAAGCATTTATGAGGCCCTTATCCTTATCAGTTGATAGAGCTACTTGAGCTGTGCAGTATAGAGTAGCAGTATTTTCTTAATGTGCTACTTGGGTGAGGTATTCAAGTCATATTACCGATTGGAAGTCTATAGACAGAGCTTTAAAAATTGATATTAAATATATATATATACATATATATATTAAGAGTTCCCGTGAGTAATCAAATATTTACGAGACATTTATTCTTATCCGTTTCTGCTTGAGCTATGTAATATATAAGCGGTATTTCCTTGATGTGCTACTTGAGTTAGCAATTCAACCTGCATCATTGATTAAAAGTCTACAGAATGTCCTAGATCAACATTCGTGAGGACAAACTTCGCGAGGACGTAGAACGGACTGAGACGAACAAAAAAGTCCTTCACCATTTTGCATATAACACGCAAATTTTTGAATTAAAAAAGTCTCTATATACGACCGTTTACAATACTTAATAACTCGACATTTGGCATATTTGTTCGCTCCATTCCAAAAGACAAATTTGTTTCAATTAAAGAAATTTTATTCAATCCGAAGGAATCTTCCTCTCTGTGTAGACAAAGCTTTAATACTACGAAAGCGTCTAATTATCAATCGAAAATTGGTCGCCTATGATATGGTATATTATCGATTAAAAAATGATAACTTCGCCTGTAGACTTTCAAACGTATTTCATTGTGGAGTGCTCGATTACTCGCGGGGGAATTCCTAACATATCCTTCGGATATCCGGTTACGACGGGGGAATCATCGGGGAATTTTCGATTTAAACGCGCCGGATTATAAGCGAACTCGATGGTCTTAGGCGATAATGTTGTCCGAGAAGAAGCTGGAGACAGCGGGGAGAGAAAGAGAGAGAGAGAGAAAGAGCCGCTGAGTGTTCATTGTAATATCCTCGGTGGGCGGAAGTTTCTGCCGGCTCTCAGCTCGCTTCCGGCCAAGGCGGAACTCCATTTAATGAGATACCAATGGCCGGTAGCGAGGAGATCCTCGCAAAGCCCCGCAAAGCACGGACGTTTAAGCACCAACTCAAATATTGACGCCACGGCCATCTTTCAAGTCGCCGACTCTTTTATACGGACGGACGGATTCGCGAAGATACGCTGTGTAACTTCGGCATCCGATCCTGCCGGGCGATCTTCGTCGGATCAGTATGAACGTGCATCCGGGCATTGTGCGACGACGACGGAACTCGAGACATTTGAATGCCGAGAACGGGCGGCGGATTCGCCCAGAATCGCTGTTTTAAGGAGTTTGTCGAAGATCCTCGATGAATTCACGGATTTGCCGCCGTTCCACGTGACTTACAGCCGAAGTTTCCGATTTTGCGGTAAACACGTCTCCGACGAAGCTCGTTTTCTCAACTGCGAATCAGTTGGTCCTCGGGTGTTCCCGCTCCGGGGAGGAACGTCGAAGCCGATCACGAGGACGAAAAAGGAAAGAGACGGCGGCTGCCAATGTCCTTCGCGTATCCTGAAGCGAATAATCCCGACTCAATGTGCCGGAAAAACGTCCTCGTCAAGCTCGCAGTCGTCGCGCGATGCAATTCCGACGCGATATATATATATATATATATATATATAGACCCCCGATATTGCCGCACCCTCGCCGAGCGACAACGAAAATCGACGCGGTGGCGTCGATCTGTGATAGAAGCAAGTCCTGTCCGTCTATTTCCACAGGGGAAAAATTGTTTGGAGGACCCGCTTTTAATGAAACTCCGCACGCGCACGTCCGTTGTGCGAATTTATTAAAAACGCTTTTTCCCCTCGAAAAATGGTGAGTCCTCTCTTCGTGAGATAAATGTCCCTCTCCATCTATACATACAATGTACACGCATTGCAGGCACCAAATTTATTTTGAAAATTTATTTTAGAAATAGTTGCATCGTCAAGAAGCCATTCAACAATTACGTCACGCTGAATATGGATATTTCTTACTCCCCCTTCTCATCCGTCACAGTTTTCTCACAAAACATTTGCCCTCTTCCAATATTACGTGACATGTGGAATTACTCCCCCCTCTCTCCTCTCCGTCGATACATAAAATAAAAAATAGCTTATAATCATGTATCGTGAGTAATTATTATTAGACTGCACGTCACTGCCCTTTTCTATAAAGTATAAATAATTTTAAATTTATAATATCAAATTAATTATTTTACTTTATAACTTTGATCGGCAAAAGTTGTGTTTTTAAAAGAATAAATATGTAAAAAATTCACATATTGATTAACATAAAACCACGTCGAAAATTTTCACCAAATGTGTCAGGAATGCGGACAAAGTGGATAACCATGTACATCCATATTTACAAGTTATGCCATCTAATGACGTCCCATGGCCTTTACTCCTCCCTCCCTGCCATCACAGGTCGTTACGCAAGCCAATAGACCCCTTCGTAGTGCGACGCAATTGTTGAATGGCTCTCAAGTTAAATCGACAATCTGCCGAGTGACTTAATAAGAAATGTTTAAATTCGAAGTTGACTATTCCGTAGGAAGGAACAAATAGCTGGACATTGTCTGCTATGAATTCGAAATAACGAGTGTCTCGCGTGGAAGAACGGGATCTTGAATTAAGTCACCAACACGTAAGACTTGCTTGATCGAAGCGAACGATAAAGGTGTGTGTCTGTTATATCTACCATCTCGGGTGTGTTCGTACTCTGCGGTACAACATCAACCGGAAAGTAAGTTCCGGCAAGTAGCTCGTTCTTTTTCATTCCACCCTTAACGAGGGAACCATCGGTGTCGATGATTAGATATATTATCGGCGAAGTGTATAACCGCATACTCCGCGTATGATCATTCCGGCTACTCCAAGTTGGCTTGCGCAATCTTGCGGTAACAACAGGCTGGCTTGGAGCCTAATGGCCCGTTGACCTTTCAGCACCTGTTGATTGTCGTTTATCAACGATTTGCATACGCAGATTTGCTAGGATTCACCTGGCGCTGCGAGGCAAAGGAGCTTCCCTTGGGAGGACGTTGTCCTCCTGATCGATGTCACCCGCACCGGCTTTCTGATCGCTTTTCCTCTCTCTTGCCTTTTGTCCGATTCGACCGATAACTCGACAACCTATTCGCGCATTTCTGTAATCAAGTTATCGCAGCTTCCTGATAGATGAGATCCCCAGCACCGTCGACAACCATCATGTCCTAGATACGAATGACGAATCGATTTCACCTTATTCTCCCCTCCCCGCCGAAATCTCTAATTTACGAGTGTTCAAGTGACGATCGCGGAGTTTTTAACGGATCCTCAAAGATACGAACAGCGTGATAAATTGTCAGCTTTAGTGCACGCCGGAGGAAAAAAAAAGGCAAATCGCGCTTAAAGAACCGTCATAAATTCCGAATGCGTTATCGGGTTTGAGGGAAGTTGTCGAAGCCCGCCATTAATATCCCGTATCTTCGACATTACAAATCTGTGGTACTGTAGCTTCTCGTTTTAACGAACGCTCTTCGAGGAAACGGCAAATGCACGATACCGTAGGATCCGGCTGATTACCGTAAAAGGTCACAAGTTACGACATCGTGTCGTCGTGGCTCCTCGAATATACACGCATCTCGAATTTGCGTGTGACGTATCATCGATACGAGATCGATGCCTCACCCCTCCGGCCCCTTAAATACGCGCAGCGGCATTTTTACGCCCGATCGATCCCTGATATCGCTCGCGTGCATTCCCCCTTTCACTACTTTCCGATACGGTGCAGCCTTCTATTTCCGCGCCGTACGAATCTTCATGTTTCCCGGATTATTCTCCCATATAAATGGACTTCTGCCGCATTATGCTAATCTATTCAGACCGCGGGCGGGTCGCGTCTTCCCCGCCAGGTGAAAGATACGAGCTGCAAAGTATCCGCAATGTATCAGGTGTGAGATATCGCCAAGATGTAAAAGGTCTTGCACACTATGATAGATGCGCCGTGTTATCCCTCGGAGATCCTCGACAATGAAACAACTTCATCGTTGAAACACGGTCTCCGGCGAAATTTCAAATCGCCGACCGACATTGAATATTCGCACCGGCGTGCTGCGATGTGTGACGCGCGATAGCGCAAATACCAATCATCCCCCGAAGATGTCTGATACCGAGGAGCCGCGATATCGATAACGCACGGAGGATTAATCGAATCGGAGCGGAATCGTCGATTTATATCCGGCATCGAGAGCCTTCTTGGGCTTAGCGAAGGTTTGGAAAATCAACGATACGGAGAAATTCAGGATCCGCCGAGTCGAACAGCACGTGGCACGTGGAAACCGCACTCCGGGAAGCCGTGATTCATGAAGGAGCGAAAGGGGGCAACGAGGACAACGAGGATTCGCATCTCTCGCCGGGTATTCGTGGGCGTTGAAGATACGTAATACGAAAAATCCACGATCGACGCAAAGTAAATAGCACGGGCCAAACAGTACGTGTCGTGGTGTGTAGGACCCCTTAAACGCGAGGTGTTTTAGGTCGGGAAGGATCGTTACCGTGTTAAGGATGATTTGTCGCCGGGATGGCGACGGCAGCGGCGTACGGTTACAACGCGCGGTTGCCTCGCGCGCAATAGACGGCGATAAACAGCGAGTACGTGTTGCACCGTTTTAATCAAGTTATGGCCAAGCGGTTGGAATTTATATTAATCGGCTGGAAACTCAAAGAGTGAACTTTCGTATCGGCATACGTGAGCGCATTTGTCCCGATTGGGTAATTGGTAATATCACGCGCAATCGATGCGCGTCGGTGTACCTAAAAATCGCTTTGAACGCGTTTTGCATACATGATAATGCGACGGCTCGGCGTGATTAATTCACTCGTTTATTTACTCGCCCAGCAATCGTGCGAAATGATCGTATATGAAGAGAGGCACATTGTGACGATATTCAGGCACGATGAGGGTCCAAGCGATTAATAATATTCCCCAATTAGCTCTTGACTGCACGTATTAATTCCCGCGAGGTATGTCAAGGAAAGAGATTGATCGCGGAATATTCGATAAAAAGGGATTCAAATTCATGCATGAGAGCGGTTTAACTGTCGAAAATGGTGAGAAAGGCGAGTTTCGTTGTTGAAAAAATAAGAAAATAGTGAGCCGGCTTTACAGGAAGTGAGTAAAAAGTGAGTCTTTTTCAAATAATTTGCACGTGGAAAATTAAATTGTTTATCTATTATACCATCTCTCTAAAAACGTTGACCTTATTGTGGAAGCCAATGAAGAGAAAAATTTGAATTTTGGGGAACAGAAAAGTTACATGACATATAGAATCTAAAACTTACGTAATATAAAATCCCTTTTATACATAAGTGCATATTCAGATTTAATAAAATTCTTCACAATTCAATCCTTTGTTTTTTCACACATATTTAATGAAATAATTTGACTGAATAATTTAATTTAACGAAATAAAATGAAAACAATACCCTGAATTCAATTAAGCAACATTATACTATATTTCCATGATGTTAGCATATCCCAGACTTTTTCGTCAAACGAAAATAAAATTTTAGAAATAAAGAAACATTTAAATTACGAGATTTTCCTGACATATTTCTATCGTTTCTCTTGGTGCGATCATACAAGTGTAGCATTTCTTTTTATTTTTTTATTTTCATTTCTTATTATTTTTCTCTCTTATCGTTTTTATCACTTATTTTTTCTTATTGTTTCTCATTATTTTTCCAGAGGGATAATCTCCCATTTACTTAATAATAATAAGTAATAATAACAGGCGAGACGATAACTACGTGTAACATATCCGTGACAGTTGTAATAAGAATCCTTACGCAAATCATCCTCGCGAGCCGAGCATAGATCACATTAGTAAACATGAGGAAGCGTATTCTCGATGTCCCGTGACTAGTGTATCTGTCAATTTTTGTGTTATGTGGGCCGACAGTTGTTCATGATCGATAACTGCGCGGACGACTGGCGGATCGCGATGACCTGGCAGCGGATCGCGCAGATCTCGTTGGAGCTGGTGATTTGCGCGATCCACCCGATTCCGGGCGAGTACTACTTCCTGTGGACGACTAAGCTGGCGAACAAAAACGGCGACATCGGCTCCAAGTGGGTGCCGTACGACGTGACCCTCTCGCTGCCGATGTTCCTCAGGCTCTACCTCATCTGCCGGGTGATGCTGCTGCACTCGAAGCTCTTCACGGACGCGTCTTCGCGCAGTATAGGGGCCTTGAATCGCATCAACTTTAACACCAGGTTCGTCCTTAAGACCCTGATGACCATCTGCCCCGGCACGGTGCTGCTGGTCTTCATGGTCTCCCTGTGGATCATCGCCTCGTGGACGCTGCGACAGTGTGAGAGGTAAAAGCCCGACTTGACTTGACCACGTTATTGTGGGGTGTTAAATCGTGTACGAGTTCGTTCGAATAGGACCGAAAAATGCAACAAGCACAACCATCTAGTAACTTCATGATTCCGTGACAACTCGATGCTACCCGATAAACCGAGTTGAGTTAGACTTGAATGGAGCGACGAACATACATTTCATATTTGATTGTTTTTTTTATTATAATAGATGGATTTTATAAAATTATTACCTGACGGAGATTTTTCACCAACTGTTCGTCGCTCTATTCAAGTCTAACTAACTCAGTTCGGTCAAACAGTATCGAATCGTCATGAATCATGAAATTATTAGAGTTAACTAAGTTATAGATGGATGTGTCTATTGCATTTTTCGACCCCGGTCGAATGAACTCGCGCTCGATTCAACGTAAACACCGAGAGGAATTGCGGGTTGCAGGTTTCACGATTAATTGTCGAACGAATTTCCGAAAATTCGTTAGCTCTATGTGGAACTTGGAAATCGCATTCTCTTTTCTTCTTAAATACCCAACGTCTAACAATATTGTAACCATATCGACGGCATTAGAACAATCGCCGTTTCTCTTTATTCTGTAACGTGTGTACGTGCTGAAAGGACGTCGGTTTACGTTTCGTTCCAAGATGATGTTTCTCTCCGGAGGATAGAGCTATCTCTTTCTTTCCTCCTATATTTTTCCGCTGAAAAGAAAAGCGACAGCAATTGTTCCATTTCGTCCATGCGAGACGTTATCTGAAGGAAGGCGAGCAGTGACACGCGCATTTCGGAATCATACACAGCTCAATGGACACGGCTCATTTGCGTGCGGTTCCAAATGATGATTGATCTACGACGTAATAGCACGTCCATCCGTCGCGCGATCGTGTCGTAATCATAAATCTCGGGCATCCTCGCCGGCGGGACAGGTCCGATTGAGGTCGCCGTTGGCGAATCGCTTGGATTTAGTGGATCCTGGGGCTGATAATTAAATTCCCTCGTAAATAGTCGCGCCGATTTCGGGAATAATCAATCTTGCCTAGGCAACATCACACGAGAGACGACGCTCGGTGGATTCCTCTCCAGGTAACCCGACGGTAGGAGAGAATCTTTCCTATCCGTCCCGCTGCCGCCTCAATAAAACCTCCGGTTTCTCCTTAATGGATGAGCACTTCCACCCACGGCCTTAACAGAAATATTTATCACTCGCGAAATGTTGATCTCTCCCTGGCTTCCAGTATCCTGCGGAAGTCCTTGATGAGCGGCCGCGAGCGATCCTTAACCGTGGGAATGGCGACGGACTGTTTCATTGTTATCCGAAGGGCGATCATTGAAAGCGGCTTTCGCCTTTGATATATCGCGCGGCCCGCCCACCCTCCACCTGTCCATCTTTTCCCGATAGAGTGGATTATGATAATCTACTCGATAATGTACTCGATAATGTTACGAGCATTCGACTTTCCAATTTCCACGGGCGTTACATGAATACGCGAGTATTTGCGAGTGTCGACGTCTCTCTCTCTCTCTCTCTCTCTTTCTCTCTCTCATGAAAAATTCAGATTAACAAACGGTATTTACTCGTGAAGAAGGTTTCAGTTTTTTAACGCTCACCCCGTGATTTCGTTATTGACTTTTAATTTCATTAAATAAATGTTACGCGCGCGTGCGCGCGCGCACGCGAATGCACGTGGAGTATCAATATTTACGATGAAAACTCTTTCACGAGTGCTCGACGAGTCAAAGGAACTTTTCATTTCGCCGGTGAAAAATATTGAGCTCGCGGCTTCCTTTCTAACGGGATTTTTCATTACATCGAAAAATGAACTTTCAATATCGCCGTACGATAAATTGTAAATTACACCGATGATAAACCGTCATTATCAATACACGCATTTGCCGTCATTAATCCCGCGAGCGAAACGCTCCGTCGAGTATCTTTCTTTCTGTAAATTTATTTCACAAAATAAATCACCGCGCACGTACACGTCGAATTACGCGGCAACAATGCGCGATAGCGCCGCCGTTATTTAATAACGGCGCCCGGCCCGTGGATCAGCGATTTTTGCGGTCTCATTCGAATTTCGCCATTTTTTCCCGGTTTAACAAATCAATCCGATAATTTGGATTTCGCACGCTTGTAAAGTTGACGGAGGCTCGGGGCCAATTTCACGCACGGATTATCGGACCTCGAATTATCGCGCAATTTAAACGATATTTTATTCATCCGATATATACGTCCGCATGCGGCGGCGTGAATTTCTACGACAATAACGCGATTTTCACGGAACATAGCCGGCGATCAATCATGCAATCAACGTTGCTACGAGAATAATTCGTTCCGCGGGAGTGCTACCAGACGGAACGTTCGTTATGTCAGCTGGGTAATCAATTTCATCTCGAAAGGGAGTCAAGTAGAAGAGTAGATGTGAGAAAAGAGAGACGATCGCGTTCTTTACACGGTTAAGTTCATCGGGAAAGTGACTCTTTCTCATCCCCCCCCCCCCCCCGTTCCCCNCAAAGAAACGTGATTACCAACGTTCGAATGGTGAAGCTTGCATCATCTCCATATAGTTTTTTACGCTTCCACGGGGAGGAAGCGTTAGGCGAACACATTAGGCTCCTAATATCGGCGATTTAGTGCTTTAAGCGCGATTCAGTTAACGGCCAGGATTCGTCGGGCGAGCGGAGCGATAATCGACCAGCTGGGTCGACTCGCAGATATCGCGGGGCCCGGAACTTTTGATGGACCGTAAAAGATTCCGCGCTAAGGCGGAAACATGTAACATCGGCCCGGCTCGTTAAAACACTTTACGATGCGGATTAGAGCCGGTGCCCCGTCCCAACCTTCTTTGCGTGGCAATAATGAATCTCGCGGGGGACATAATGCTATCTTTCGCCCTATAACTTACCGCGGTCGCCCCAATGTTCGCTTATCCCCCGGGCGGCAGGATGAATGCTGGCCGTGGCGAAACGGACATATCGAACGATGAAGAAAAGCCACGAGTGCTGAAACTTCCCTCTCCGACGGACGGCCTCCTTTTATCGAGAAGGTCGGAAAATTGTTCGAAATCATTCATTTGGGCGTATTTCAATCTCATGCGAAAACGATTTTCATCGTGAACATGTGTCGTTGTCACGCACTTCGGTGAATCAAAGAAATTTGAATATACAGTGAAAAAAGTTTGCGTTACAAATCGTCCGCTTAAATTTTTATGTCACTTTAAACGCGAGGAATAAGTTAAGGGGTACGCAAATACGTGAAATTAACATGTTACTTTCTTCAACATAATTTTAAAGTAACACAAGAATTCGGATGCACCGTTCGTGATATAAATTTTTGAATTACGCAAAGAGTGAGAGATTACTTCGGACAATTTCATTACTTCTCTAGCAGCAGAAGGATCGAAGTAAAGGAAAGGAGACTTTTAAAAAGACGTTCGTTAATGCGACCTTTTCTATTTTTAGTAACTACAATTTCCAATCTGAAAGTCTCCAGCAATCGGAATCTATAAATCTTTAGTGACCGGGGTTGCTCAAACTAACGAAACGTGTCAAGCCTCGCGAGAGGAAACCTAGGGCGGGCATTTTTGAAACAAAGTCCAGGGCGACATTGTAGCTGCGCAAATGCGCCTGTTCGTCGAAATAATCCGATCGTCGTTTTACCATGACAGGTACCATGATGAGGAGCACGCGAATCTCCTCAACGCCATGTGGCTCATCGCCATCACGTTCCTGAGCGTCGGTTTCGGCGACATCGTGCCCAACACATACTGCGGTCGAGGTATAGCCGTCTCCACCGGAATGATGGTAAGGGTAGGACGTAAATTGGCACGAAGTCGCGGAAATTCTCACCGCCTCGCAAATTACTTCGCATCATCCGGGGCCATCGTAGTGGCTTATCTTCCACTCTCACTTCGCTCCTCTCACCGGCGCTGATCATTACCCTGACCAAAATCACCGAAAGTTGCACCGACGGAGTTGCGTCGGATTACATCGCAACACCAATCACGTAGATCGTTAATCCTCGAACCAAGTTATCGTCAACTATGAAAACGCGTTGTACATGCTTCCCCCCACTGCGCGGTATCCGGCGGAGAGTCGGGGCTCCGCAAACATGTAACCTCGTGTAACTCGCGTTAAATGGCACTCCGGTGCCGCGAGCTTCATTACGCGAGCGCACCGGCAAGATAATGAGAGAGAGAGAGAGATAAAGCGACCGATCGTCGCGATCGATCGAGCTGTTCAGCCGTTACAAATCGGTGATTTACACCGTTGCATTCGGCCGCTCTCGCCACAGTCATTACACAGTCCACTTGTAATTAAAGGCGATGGAGGACGCCGATAAACACCATTCTCCCTCACCCTTGGGAAAGCCCGGGTCGTTCCTTATTGTTATCACACTCCGTCCCCCGGCCTCCTCCTCCTCCTACCGCCTCGTCCTTCGTGTCCGTTCGCACAACTTCCAGCTAGTCCCACGTTAACCCGTTAGATTTGTAACTATCACCAAGCGCTTTAACCGGCTGGTTCCAGCGTTGCGGGCTAATTCCTCGTAAACTTCCGCCGCCGAAGCGCGGCTGTTGTTTCCGGAAGTCCAGTTCCGATCACGACTCACAATACGTTTTGGTGCCTCGTTCCCTCCCCCGTCTCTTCTCCCTTCCGCGCCGGTCCCTTTCATTTGCGAGATTTCCTCTCTCCCTTTCTCTCTCTCTCTCTCTCTCTCTCTGGCTCTATCTCCCTCTCGCTATCTCGCCGTTTCATGTGCACTTACGCGTATAACGCTTCTCGTAAATTGCGCGAAATTGCCCGGTCTCTGTCTGGGATTCTGGCTATTAATTTCGGGACGGCGAATACGAAACGGCCTGATAGCGGCCGTGTTTTCCAGCGTAACAGGCGCATCCCGACGAAATAGTCAATGGATAAATAATGCAAATTCGCTGATCCCCGGCCGGTTCGCGGAGCTCTGTGTGTCCGGTGTATCGCGCGCGAGTAGGAAAAAAGTTAATTACCTCTAGTTCGTAAGGATCAGGCGAAATGATCGCCGACGAGTCGCCGGCAGTGAGACTACATCTAATTACAAGTGGCGCTTTCGTAATGTTCAGGGCGCCGGATGCACCGCTCTATTGGTGGCCGTCGTCTCCAGAAAGCTCGAGCTTACGCGGGCGGAGAAACACGTGCACAACTTCATGATGGACACACAATTAACGAAGAGGGTAAGCGCCGCTGAGATCTCTCGTTCAGAATATATTCCAATGTGGCGTTGTGAAATGTTGGATGTAGAAATCTTTTCGCGATACTCCGGTATACTTAAGCGTAAATTTAAGGAAAGATAGAAACCCCCGTGGTATACTAGAAATCTGTGTAGCATTTGATCTATCACGAAGCTCGTATCTGCGAGGAATACCTGTATCCACCGCCTTTACATATCGACCGATAATGAGGGGATACGATCGTCTATCGCGAGGTACAGCTTCCTTGCGACTGAAACTGTCTTCTTTGAATATTCATTCAGCTAGCAAAGTCGCTTAAGTAGCGCAAAGGGTCTGTTTTAAGCTTCCAGTCGGCGAATATTTCAGCAAAAAGCTTCGTTAACGGAACCGAGTACCCTGATCATCGCTAAATTTGATAAAGTAACCTGACACAAAGGGAATTAAAACGCAATTCGCGTGAAGTGGTAATTGGATAATATAAAATAGCGTTTTCGTTTATCACATCAACATAATCGCAATTGAATAATTCGTGTAAAGTAACGCAAAGAATGAAGTTAGAAGTATTATGCAAATATCGGAGATTATTACGTTGTTCTTTTTATAATAACGAACTGTAATACGTTCTTTGCGTATTGTTTGATCTGCCGAAGTTTCTGAAATAAAAAAGATAACTTTTAATAATATGCATAGCAGACACGCTCCTATAGCGAAACGACCAGTTATAAAAGTAGCTGTAGAAGGAGAAACTATGTTAAATCTGGTTGAACGCAGTTCTCATTTATTTTTCGGAACGATATAGTTATTAAGATAACATCGACTCTGAAAAATATACAACATTCTAAATAAAATAGAAGAAATAAATCGGCGATTTTGTAATTAGTAAATTTCTCGGTAGAATTCATAAAGATCTCGAAAAGAATTCATGTTTATCTAAATTCAAGAAATATGGTTTTGATATCTTCTGGAGTTTCTGTCGCAGCATTTGCAATTGCGGTCGTGACAAAAATCCGTAAATTATGATTACCGGAGTTTCAAAAGTATGTCTTAAATAAAAGGCATGACGGTAGCTGTGAGCATAATTGCAGGGAAGCTTTTGAAATTACACTCACCGTCGGCATTCCGCAAGGATCAGAAAAGCGAATTAAGCACGTAATGAGAGCATGATGAATATCGGTCTCTCTCTCTATATATATATATATCAAAGTCAATATATATATATATATATATATATATATATGTATATATAGCGCAATGTAATTTTCCGGCTGAGCCACGTAATAAGAAAGTATCCCACTGTGAGTAAGTAAGGTTGCCTCAGAAATAAACAGGCCGTACGAAGTCGCTTGGCAAAGTCGCTATGACCTTTAGGAAAAACAGATTTCCTTTCGTTGGTAATCTAAATTCTTGACTTTGATATCGAAATGTGTAAAATTCAGAATCGTGCAACTTATATAGAGATAATTCGAAAACGTAAATATTTAAAAAAAAAACACTAAATTCCGAGGATTCAAGCACGTACGTCACATCAAGAATTAAAAACCACGATGATAAGAAATCTTGAGAAGCTTAATGTCTAGAGATGTAAAAATCTAACAATGAGAGAGTACCAGAAAATAAAAGTAATATTATATTAATAGTAGATTAATAATAAAAATAATATTATATTAATAAAAGACAAATATAGATAAGTAAAGTAATATTCCAGATAGTTAATATTCAACGGGCTAAAAACCCATATCCTAGAATTAGGGATTTAAAGAACTTGATAATACATAAATTTTATATGTCATGCTTAAAGAATTTAATATATTAACATTAATATTCCAAGATACAAATAGCTTAAGAAGCTATATATGTATAGGATGTCTTAGACCAAAAGAAATAAACTTCGTCAGGACATAGAACAGATTGAGATGAACAAAGAAGTTCTCTATCATTTTGCAAATAACAAGCAAAAAATTTTTCTGTTCACCTCAATCCATTTTACGCCCTCACGAAGTTTGCCCTTGCTGATCTGAGATATCCTATACATGCATTATATAAGATATACCAAATTCAAATGTGTCTCGAGAAAATGCTAGAAAAATATTTCAATATATTCAAAATATTACAAACGTGATAAAATCAGTGATGTGAAAACGAAGTAGAAATTTACAGTCTCAAAAGCCCAAGATTGACCAAATTCGTGAGTAATCTAAATTCGCGGAATTAAAAACTGAAGTCTTCGAAATTTGAGAGTTTTGTAAATCCAAAAGTCTGCTAAAGTTCAGGGACTTAAATACTCAAGCATTCTCACTAGTTCTAGATCAAGTGAAATAAGAAAAAGCGCCTGCCGGAGTAAAGAGCGTTGTTATCTTCCGTCCAGGCAATGGACCGAGACGACTTGAGACGAGGAAGTCAGCTAATGTATCATTGTCATTTTAGCCTTTATCGCCGTGAAAAGAGTGTGGCATCGATCGATTCAATCCCACCAAACTTCCAAAGAGAAAGCTTCGAAAGGCAACCCGAAGTAAATCGTAAAGCGATAATGGAACGACTGCTAGAAACGACTTGCGAATACTTTCCGGCGAGATCGCACGGAAAATTTCGGTGACATTACAACAACACTTCCCAATAACAATGGAGGCCATAATTCGCAGTCACGTTTCATCGACTCTAAATTTCCGGTTGAAAAGTTAGACGGTCTTACGACTGAAAACTTTAGGAAAGAATTATAAACTCGAAGTACAAAAATCTCAACTCCCAAATCTTCGCAGTACAAGATGCAGACATTAAGATATAATAATAACTTAACCTTTAGAAAGTAGTTCCTTTAGATAGTTTATAACTTAACAAAACATTGCGAATTCTTAGGTCCGATAGATCCAAAAATTCATTATTTAGAATTTAGACAGACTTCACATTAAAATATTCGAAATTTTCATATCTATTTGTAAAACGTAAAATAACTTAAAATATATTTTTAATGTTCTAATATATTTTTAAATTTCTATAAATTTCGAAATATTCCATGCGTGCGATAGAGTTTAAATTCGTCGAATTGCTGCGCCCGGTGAGTTTTACATAAGTACGACTGCTTCTCTCCACCCCTGGATCGAAGCCTTCAACTACATACCTACTGAAATAATTATTAGCCAGCGTTATTTATAAAGCTTGCAAATATCAAGGAGTGGTAACGTAGAGTTATACGCGTGGCCGTATCGACGAGTCTTTTTACGCCGCTTTAACTCTTGGATGCATATCGCTTTTTTGCACGTCATTGCATAAGTGGAATCGATCTGATCCCATCAGCCGTAACAGAACAAATGTCAACCCTTTCGAAAACGTTTTTCTTTGACCACATAAAATTCACCAAACACACACGTTTTTCCCAAACACGCCTGCACAATAGCTCTTGACAATTTAAAAACATGACCTTTTTTCAAATAATGTTTAATACAGTTGTGTGAAGTAGTGCCGTCGGTACAAACCGGGTAGTTTCAGGGATATCCGGGGATATATATTCGAACGTCACATTTGTGGGTACCACTGAGGTATTTAAATATTACCAGAGCAAATAACTGAGTTCCCGGGTACTCGGAACCACAAATTGCGGGTAATCGCTGGGTAATACCTATCCATTATCTACTATTGATTTTTGTAGCGACTGGTTTAACATGAAGTAAGCTTCTCCTTCATTTCCCTTAGGTACTATACACACCAACCACGATACTCGGACAGTCCAAAAAAAAAAAAAAACACATAATAATTAGATACCTTGAAAGTACCCGACAAATTTTATCATCCGCACAATACTCGAATGTTTAAGTACCCGAGTGTGGACACCGTCGATATAAAACGAAAATAAGACAATTCTGTAACCAACCCGGCGGAGCTTAATCGCTCTTTCGGGTAAACGATGCCTAAAAATGTTATTCGAACCACCCACAACTCTCGAGCGAAATGTAGGTTGCACGAGCACGGTCCTAGCGTGCTGAAATCGAAGGAAGTTACCGTTGACGAGGGGCCACAGTGGCGATGACGGTTCCGCTTTGTTTCAGTTGAAGAACGCCGCAGCAAACGTGTTGCGGGAAACGTGGCTGATTTACAAGCACACCCGGCTGGTGAAGCGCGTCAATCCCGGACGCGTGCGGACCCATCAGCGGAAATTCCTATTGGCTATATACGCGTAAGTCGATACACACTATCCCGGCCGAGCATGGCGTAGCGGCCTGGCACATAATTGCGCTCTGTCGTCGAACTTTCAGACTCAGGAAGGTGAAAATGGATCAACGTAAATTGATGGACAACGCCAACACCATAACGGACATGGCCAAGGTGAGAATTGCCGCTAACGAGAAGAAACCTTTCCCGCTCGTAAAGCTCGATGGAATATCGCGACGGCGAGTGAACGGAATAGGATGCTGAACAGGATTAAAAGCACCGCTGCCCCGGCGGAATAGCTATTCCGCAAATAAGCACCCTTTTTACGAACCCCTTTTTTTATCGCGATGAAAGAATTGAATCCCCCGGCTGGGCGGTACCGTTCCTCATGCTCGAACTAAATTCAACCGGCACTCGCGCGAGACAGAAATCAGCGAATCCCCGAACACCGCGCACCGGTCTCACCTCCCAAACGGAAAATAGACAAAAGAAAACCGATCTAACGTTACCCCCAACGACCAGACTTCGATCACTCCCGCCGTTGCTGACGGTTGTGCTATCTCTGATCCACCCCGACAGACACAGAACACCGTCTACGAGATCGTCTCGGACATGAGCACGCGACAGGATACGCTGGAGGAGCGTCTGGAGGGCGTGGAGAGCCGTCTGGCCGGCCTAGACGAGAAGCTGACCTCGTTGCAGGGTCAGCTGGAGCTGCTGCCCGAGGTGTTGACCCGCTGCTTGGCCCAGCACGCCGAGCGGATGGAGCAGCGGCGCAACTTCCTCCACCCGGACACGGCGGTGGCGATCGCGACTTCCGCCGGCGGTGGCGGTGGCGGCGGCGGCGGCGGCGCCATCTCCTCGGGGACGAGCCTGGGCGTCTCCGGCGGCAGCGCGTCCGCACACCACCCTCTCGCCAGTCTCTCCAACTCGCCCCTCTTGCCGCACTCGCGTAGCGTGCCGAGCGCGCCCAGCACCATGTCCCTACACCCGTGGCCGGTCAGCCCGGTCCTTCCCCCCGTCTCCAGCCGCACGCCCCACCTGGTGCCGGAAACCGGCAGGCATCATGGCCTCAGCCACTCCGCCACGGTGACCGCTACGACCTCGCAGTCGGCCACCAGGCTCACCTCGCAGGCCGGCATGGGTGGGCTAGGCAACAGCCAAGGCTCGGACACGTCGGCGCACAGCTGAGTCTCGTCTCTGCAGCCGCAGCACTCGTACTAAGGCCCCTCCTGAGGCCGGTTTCCGCGTATCACAGACTGCGGTCGGCGCGCCACCGCGGCGCACGATCGGTATATAAGTTATACTGCCGGGTTACAAATCGCACTGCGATCGAACACGACGGTCGGTCGACCGGAGGTTCGCTTCATCGCACAAACGAACGTCTGATAAGGTAAAAAGATGAAGAAACTCCCGTCTAGAGCGGTGTTTCCCCCCACGTCTACGTCGGCCACGTTTGCGCCCGGTCCACTGTAACAGGCGGGTTCCCGCGGTTTTTACCTTCGTCGCACAGCCTGCGCGCTCTCTCTCGTCGGTGTTTTCGCTGAAAGAAGCGGAGGGATTCGAAGTAAAAGAGACGCGCCGGTAGCAGGTTTCAGACGGTTTCAGACGCGGGTTCCCCGGTTTCCCCGGCCCGCCATATACAGTGGACTCCGCGCACAGACACGTAAATTAATACGTTCGCGTTTCGAGAAATTTCCCCCTCGCGACTGACGATTGTTTTGGGGAGCCACGATAACGGAGCGGTAGCTCGAAGCCTCCTACGTTTTCTCTCTTTTCTACGCAACGCGAGACACTTTCTTTTCCGTTCTACGGCCTGTGATTCTCGCTCTCGCATGGACCACAGCCCGGGGGTGTGATGATAGTCGGGTGCTACGTGGAGAAGCATTGCTCTAAGTGAGAGTTCTCTGTGTGGTGTGTGACCAAATTGCGATACCGCGGTCTGTCTTTCGTGTGAAACTCGTCTAACGATGGGCCTTCTTGCGTCCTGCGCGTACCTACGAGTTCCTCCCGTAACGAAGTCGGCGCGCCCTCGCAATTCGGAACTGCGTGCGGAGTATCGCGCGCGATCGGGAACGAGAAGATAGGAAATACCGGGGGGGGGGGGGNTCCGAGCGCCACTCTAAGCGTGTTCTTATCATAGTTATCACCGATCACACGGCGGTTTACCTTTCCCGCACACACCCGAACTCCTCGAGCATTTACTCCCGTTTACCGAAAAATTCCCCCGATTTTCTGCCCCGAAATAGCAGAACCCACAGGTCGGCGAGCGTCGTCGCGAGAAAAAAGAAAAAACAACGGCGCTGTCGACGACACATTCGATCATTCGTACAAACGGCGTTTCGTTCGGAATCGAGGGGTCCACTCAGTTATATTAGAAGTAGCCATCATACCCGGTCATGTCTCCTCCCCATTCGTGTCCACCCTTCGGTCGCCCACATCAATCAGCCGTTCCTACTTAATCCCTTCCAGTGGCCGACTCTTCCCTTGCCGATTTCAACGAAAGTACGCGATCAAGAGGTCGGGGTTATACACGAGTAGACGATTTAAACGGTCAAGGGAATTCGAAGCGAACCGCGGCGTAGACGAAGAATCGGCGCGATCGGCCGGTCTATTGATCGATCGGTCCCGCGAAACGGAGGCGAGAAGGCGAGGAACTCTCGAGGTACGCGCGGCTTCTTCCACTGGCTGCGCGCTGCTCCCCTGCCCAACTTGCGTGCCTGAATAACTGTTTTCTTAATAACTAAATGTACATTCGAACACAGGAATTCCACCTTGTATCTCTGTATACCTCGTGAAGAGCGCGGACGGGCACAACGTGTGTGTGTGTGTGTACAAGAAGAGCATGTGCGGACGAGGATTAGCCCGGGGGGGGGGGGGGAATCAAGCCGGCTATTAAAGCCCGTGTGCGATCAAGTTAAACTGTCCTTTTCCATGGTAGTCGCGGACTGCTCAAAAGGTCCCCCACTCCAGTTGCGGAGTGCCGAGTGCCCGTATTCATACCTCACGTCCCGAGCTAAGCGTGACCGTCTGCTTCCCGGCTCGAGGTAACTTTCTATGACGACCCTCGTACGAGGTAAGCGAACAACCAAGTGGCATAGCTGCATAATTAACAACCCCCTGTCGTTTCGGTGGACGACCTGTACCGGTGAATTAATATCTCGCTTCGATTAATCATACGGCGGTTAGATTCGGCCGTTTCTCTCGAACGAAACGCCGGGAACACACGGTCACATTCAACGATACCAATACGGGCTTGATTCGCGTTGATTACTTTGCCGACTTTTACGCCCCCAGCTTGCTTTCCCTCTCTTTCGTTTTTCGTTTACCGCTTACCACCCCTCGGCCTACTCATCGGTGAAGTGAGAAATTGACGAGGTCATTGATGAATTACGGCGTAAAACCGGAGGACATTTCTGCCCTGTTGGACGGCACCTGGAGACGCGCTTTAAGAGCCGGTGCGAACCCGAGCCGGGTGTCCGCAAAACGAATAGAGGGAGAATGCAAAGTGATCTTATCCGCTTTAACGTCCGTAGGTTACATAGGATATTATATTGTTAATGTATACTTGTACATGGCGCACGGGTACAAAAACAGCTACGTTTCCATTGAGGGGAAGAGGGAGGGGGGTTTGAAGATTTTTTATAACGGGGCAGCTATCGCGCGAAGAGTTAGCGCGGTGCGCGGGCGGGTAGGCTTAATTAAACGGATCGACCAGACAATGGGAAACTACTTATTTGCCAACGACTTCCCGTTCGGAGGCGTCCACCAGGCTTTTTTGTTCACCGTGTCTCGAATGTCCTCATGTTGATTTCCGATCGCATGGAAACCGGCCCATGTACGAAAAGTAAACGCGAGTTTCCCCGGAAAACTTTCCACGTTATCTCGTTTCATCATCATTTTCCTTTTTTGTATTATTCTCACGTTTTACGTTCTGTAAGTATCGTGTTGCGTGACAATGATTAAATTCTTTTTACAAAGTTCGAGGTGCAATTCGGAGAAGTTGAAGTCTCCGGTGGTGATTTGGCTCGGGAGAAACGGTTATTTCGTGAGCGAAGAAGCCTGGTGCGTCGAAAGTACAGGGTGTCCCGAGAAGAACCGAATGCGAGGTTGACAATCGATCGACTTCAGATCCGGAGAGCCTGGATATATCCAAGTGTTGTTTGGTTTCTTCCGGAACACGATGTACATTTGCTATAATTCGCGGCCATAACGCAGCGCGTATGTTCATTCTTTCCGGCGCGATTTGTCCCGAAGATGTTCAGATCTCAACGCACCGGCACGACGGTGTTCGTTAGCGCAACCATAACCGTATTGGTCGACACACGCGACAACAGAGATTTTATCGAGGTTCTTCAAGGCGAGCTCGAACAACTCTGATCCCTTTGGTGCGGGAACCGGACGTGAAAGTTTCTAGAACACGTGTGCGAGATACATGAATTAGTTAAAATTTAGACCTTACCATTTACTCCCCGCAAAACAGAGGTGGATCAAGAAAGAAAGGGTTAGCACGTACTCGTTTTATATAAGAATAAAATCGCTTCTTTTCTACGAGAAACATTTCGTTCCAGTCAGGGAAAATTCCCCCCATTCATTTGGTCATCTCTAATTTCCCCCTCGGTTTATTTTGTACTCAGTACTTTAGCGTTAGCCCCATAGTGGATTAGTCGTTAGTGTTAGTCCTTTAGCCGTTAACAGCATCCAACTTATTCGGATTTAACTGATAACCTCATCAATTGCTATTAATTAATGTCGCAGAAGGGGAAAGATCGGTCGAGCCGCCTTCAGTATCTTCGACCGTTCGTTCACACAAGAAAAAGCTCACGCGGAAAAAGCTCACTAAACGCGGATAAAGCTGGGACCTGGTTTGTCTTGTCCGTCATCGTTTCATTTCGAAAGCGTAGTTTCGCGGCTGATCGCAACGCGAAACGGGACCAAAACAGACACAATTTTCACAACGTTCTCATACTGTCCCTTTTCTCTTCCGCCTTTCTCTCTTTTCACTTTTCCCTCACTTTCTTCTTTTCCTCACAGTTGGGCAGACTTTCCATCTAACGAAAGAATCTATGTAACGATGAGAAACAATACTTTGCTAATCTTGGTTAAATTAAAAATTCACTCGAGAATAGAGATATCTTTCTATTCGGAAGTAAGAAAGATACTTTCTTCGCTTTAAAAAAATGTATGCGTTGTTATGAAATATTTTATTTATTTTTTTATAGTTTCTACGCTCGGATAGATTATATGACGGCAATCCTGTAGTGTAAAGGTGATTAGACGTATTAATATAACGAAAGGATTCATAGGGATTCTCCTCTTTTTCCATAATTAAAAAGGCTGTGTTAAACTTTTAATTAATTTTATGATAACCTTTAACTATTTGACTTATTGTTAGCCTGAGAATTATTCAAAGAACTATTTATTCGCGGATAGAGGTGAAAGAGATATGAAAAATGTATTAGGAAGCTTTCTTCTGTAATGCATAGAACGCTTCGCCTTCGAATAGAAAAGGAAAAAAATCGCCTCTTGTCACATAGAATAAATTTCCATTCGGAATTCAAACAAAAAAGTTATCTCGCGCGTGGGAACGAAGATAACTCTTTTCATTTATTCGATTTTTTTCACCCGAATGAAATTTTCAATCGAGTATTGTCCAACTCATCTGTTTGTTTCCCTGGTTTTCGTTAATCGATCTTTCCTGGACTTTTCCGGCGCCCCCCTCCCCCCTTCCTTTCTTCGTCATCCTTCTCTTTGTTTTACATGTTTTACTTTCCCCTACCACCTGTTTACATCCTGTTCAAGAAGCATTCCTCTTTCGCGCGCGACTAAACGCACTGGACACGACAACTCTACGATATTTTTATATAGATTTCTTAAAAGTGCATTATGGTGCCAGGAAGACCACGCCAAGTATAAAAACGTAAAAATATAAAACGGTTTCAATATTGGATCCTTAGGCGATAGACACCGATTCTATGATATTGTTAGTACGTAATAACATGGATATATAGATGATTACCGAATTCTTCGACGTAGTGAAGCTACGTGAGGCCACTTTCATGATAAAGGAAACGAATGGAAAAAGGAAAGTCAACCCGGAACGAAATGCATTCGTCGCGAACTGCGCTTAGAGCGCAAGCCTGAGAATATTGGACCCGGAGTTATCAATTCTTGCATTCGCAGATCTCCGTAACTATGGTCGCTTGAAACACCGTGGGTTCTTAACGTTTTAACTTGCGGGAAAAGCACCGAATTCCTGGAATTTGGAATTTTCGAAGCTTTCATTACTGTGTACGCTGAAGTTCTGGAAAAATTCTGTGGAATTAGATCTGTGAAAGTTTCAGTTTTCGAAATTGCCGAGCCACACGATGTGTCACGATCGAACTTAACGGAAACTGTTCGCTTAGAACACGGGATTCTTAAAAATCGGAGGTCTCTCGGTATTATTTCTGATTTAACGGAGTATGTGGGACTGGTTTTTCATAATCTCAAAATGTTGGATCCATGAACTTTCAAATTCTTAAACTCTTAGGTTCGTAGATCGACGGGTTCCGAAATTTCGATTTAACGTACACGAACGCGGAAAGTGAAAGTCCCCTTTTGTTCCTTTCACTGCGTTTGTCGCAACAACTTATCAACTGGGATCGCAAACGATCGGTTTCCGGCGCGATGAGGATTGCATTAACACTTTTTTAAAGGCCAATCGCGACGTGATATTTCCCACGAGGGGCGAAAACATTCGAGGGAGAGAAAGTCGAGGATCGAACACGGTGATCGATTGAACTCTTTACACGCAATTAGCTAACGGTAAAATAAATGAGACAAAAAATAAATAAATAAAAAAACAGAAAAAAGTGAAGTGCGCGCGAGCGCAGTCTCGGGCGAATTTATATGAGCATTACGGTTATTACTATCTATATTCGTTTATGATTGTTATTGTTATAATTATTACGAATTATCGTCACGACGATAAATAACGGTAGCGTTTAAACGGTTTTAACTCTCAGACACTTTACGGAGCTCTTATACCAGCATTATACCTAGCGGGCTGTCGCCGTGTAACTGTTACGTAAAATGACCAACAATTATTA